ACCACGCCCACCGGGGACCCCACCCCACGGGACAACCCTCTCACGGAAACGGCACCCCACGGGAGACCACGCCCACGCAGGGACACGGGTGGATGGGGGGGGGCGGCTCTGGGGGTCCTTGTGGCCTCCTCCAGCTGCGACCGGCCGGTACGGAGGGTCCGGGATCGGGATCCGGGATGTTCCGGGATCAGGGATACAGGATGCTCCAGGACACGGGATGATCCGGGATCGGGATCCGGGATCGGGATCCGGGATGTTCCGGGATTGGGGGTATAGGATGCTCCAGGATCCAGGATGCTCCAGGATCGGGATACGGGATGTTCCGGGATCAGGGGTACAGGATGCTCCAGGATACAGGATGTTCTGGGATCGGGGATACAGGATACTCTGGGATCAGGATACTGGATGTTCCAGGATTGGGGATACGGGATACTCCGGGATCAGGGATATGGGATGTTCGGGGATCCAGGGTACAGGATACTCTGGGATTGGGATACGGGATGCTCTGGGATCCAGGGTACAGGATGCTCTGGGATTGGGGGTGCAGATGCTCTGGGATCAGGGATACAGGATACTCTGGGATCAGGATACGGGATGTTCTGGAATGGGGATATGGGATGCTCCGGGATCAGGGGTCTGGGATACGGGATGCTCTGGAATGGGGATACGGGATGATCCGAGGTCAGGGATGCAGGATGGGCAATGGATCTGGCGGAAAGGATACAGGATGCTCCGGGATCAGGGATGGGGCATGCTCTGGGACCGGGAATACAGGATGATCTGGGAGATGTGGGATGCTCCACGGATATGGGATACAGGATGCTCCAGGATCAGGGGTATGGGATACGGGATGCTTCGGGATGGGGGATACGGGATGCTCCGGGATCAGGGACAGAGGATGCTCTGGGATCAGGGGTGTGGGATACAGGATACTCAGGGATGTGGGATGCTCTGGGATCAGGGATACAGGATGCTCCAGGATCAGGGGTGTGGGTTGCTCCGGGATCGGGGTCCGGGGGGCTCCAGGATCAGGGATTTGGGATATTCTGGGATCGGGGAGGCGGGGATGTGGGAGGCTCCGGGATCAGGGATTTGGGATGCTCTGGGATCAGGGATACAGGATG